AAGTGTCCCTGGTGATCCACCAGCGCTTGCATAACCATAGGAAAATAACCCTTTCTGTTGATGTACTATGTAGCAAGATGGTCTCATGCCAGAATAGGGATATATGTGTTGTGTATCGCTCCACCACAGTTCAGGAATCCCATTGCTGCAAACAGGGCCAATCCGAGGGAGGGCTGGGAGGGCCATTTGGCCTGGGCCTTAAGTTCAAAGCGGGCCTCAAATTTACACACTTGTTAATTTTTTGGCATTTGATAAGTTTCGCAACTTGTTTTTATGCACATCCCTATCGGACCAAAATGTGACCCACACTCTCAGCTTACAGCTGCAAATTTAAGCAAATAAGAGATGTGATTTGGTAAAAGACATAATTTTGTTGTTAACTGATATAGATGTTGTCATATTAAAGAGTTTAAAATGTTTATAAATATTAATAAAAATATATCGGTTCTGATGGCACAAGATTAGACGACGATGAGCGTGTCCTCTCAGATCAGCTGATTATATAAACAAACCACAACTAGTGGCTGGTGCTGGATCAAGAGGTGTTGAAAGGTAGAGAATTGTTACATTTTAGTGTCTTTATAGTTTTATGTCTAGTTGACTAAGGATTTATTTATGTGTGAGAATTCCTCATTATTATCTTCATATGGGAGCTAAAAGAGGTGACTGGCTGGCTGTGCCCTAGCTTGGTAGCTTGGCCATCATCACAGGCTTTCGTAGTCTATAGGCCCAGATTCAAGGTGAAAATTTGTGAGAACAATCTTGTACAGTGAGTTTTGTGAGGACACACGTTTGAAATTTTTGGACATTATCCCTCTGTCTGTACCCATGTCTGTGTTTACTATAGATATGTCATCCCTTTGTCTCCAGCTCAGCTTTGTGGGACTGGGTGGGCCATGCAGACCGAGTCGCCCTCTCGCTCTTAGAGGTGGCTGGTTTCCCCACTCCCACCCTGCAGGGCAGAGGCCCACTGGTCGTGTGGAAGCCAGGCACTGATGCTATCCCTGCTCTGCTGATGATTGCGGTGCCCAGTGCATTTCACCAGCACCGAAACCCTCCCTCCTTTTATCGAATGCCCCCTGGAGTGAAAGCTCCCCGTGTCAGTGAAACACCTGGGTGCATCTCCATGGCTGTCCAGCAGGGGAACTACCCGACCTTCAGCTACACCTTCCCCTCCAGTGCTTCATTCAGAACCCAATACGTCGGTGAGACTGAAACCAGAGTCAGGCCTGATCCCGCGCTGCGAACAGGGCTTCCAGTTCCCAAACCTCCGATTTTAGCCGGGATGGAGCAAGGGGAAGCCTACCTGCCGAAACCCGCGGGGGCTGGCCTGAGAACCAGCCAGGTGAGAATGACTAACCGGGGCAGGACTGGCCAGACCCAGAGACCACTCCGACTGAAAACGAAGAACACTGGACGCTTGGGACGATCTTCCCCGTTTGTCACGGATAATGGCCAAGAGCAGCTGCAGTGCCCCAGCCGGTTGCTGTAACAGCTGGAAGGACTTTGTGAACGGGACCGGCTTCCTGGGGCCTATCCAGCACTCTGTCCTGTGTGGGACTCGGGTAAGGCATCTACACGCCATGGTTTTCAGAAGTGGCCACTGAGCTTTTGATGCCTTCATTTTGCGATGTCCAGCATGGGCCAGATTTCCAACGGTGCTCAGCACATCTACGGGAGGGTACGTCTGCACGGCAGTCAGGAGGGGTGACAGCAGCACGTGGGAGCGTACCCCAGCTCGCTAAAAATAGCACTATAGCCATGGGGCACGGGGGGGCAGCGTGGGTAGCCACTCGAGTACAAGCCAGGCCTGGGCCTACAGACGCTCTTGGGTGTACCCTCAGAGAGGCAGGAGTGTACCAGGGAGCTCAGGAATTAACCCAGTGCTGGAAATACCAGTTTAACATGGGGAGAAGGCGTCCAAATGGCACTTGCATTCTTAAAACCTCAGGGTGCCCCGTTCCGCTTGGGGTGCCCAGTTCTGCTCGGAGCGCCCAACTGAGGGCGGGGCAGGGCCCTCGGCTAGTAACAATCTCTCTGAGCCCGGGATGGCTTCCATCCATGTCTGATTTTCTCCAGATTTCTTATTAACCAAAGAAACCAGAGTTCAGCTGGCCTGGCCCACGTCAGCTTGCCTGAGCAGAGCCGCAGGGAGGGACAGAACACAAAGCCCCTTTAGCCAGTCTGGCCAGAGCATCTGCGTCAGTAGGACCCAGGGAGCCGGCTGGGGTATCTGGCCGTTAGGGCGTCCTGGGTGTCTGGCCCAGGAGTGTAGCTACGAGGGGTGCAGGGGAAGCAGCCACTTCCCCTCAGCACATTTTCCAAAAGCGGTGCCTTAGTTAGGGGTTACCATGGCGCCAGCGGGTGGGGCCCATGCTCCGCTCTGAAGCTTGGCCTGCCGGGCCGGCGCTGGGCTCCTGCAAGCAAGGGGGGGGGCAGGGGCTGGTCCCTGCGGTGGGGCAGGGCAGCACCGGGCACAGGAAGCGGAAAGTGGCAGCGCTAGCAACTACAGCAGCGGGGCTGGTACCGGGAGCAGCATGGAGCGGCCACGAGAGGTGGGTGCGGGCGGCCCGGCTCCCCTCGCCCGCCGCGGGGCACGGGCTCCACCTCTGCAGCACTGCCCGCCGCGGGGCTGGGGCTCTCCCAGGGCTCTGCCCTGCACGTGCCCAGCACCCCTGGGGCTGCTCCTGCCTCCCCGGGCTGGCCCCAGATCTCCTCCCCCGCGGGGCTGGGGTCCTGCTGTGGCTTGTGCCCCTCTGCCTCCTTCGTGGGGCAGGCAGCCCCAGGGGGTTGAGGCCGTGCCACCCCTTCCCCAGCTTCCCCCTCCAACAGCCCCCGCACCGCCCTGCCGGGCCTGTTCAGCCCTCGGCCCCACCGGGTCCTGCCCTGCCTCATGCAATCCGCCCCTACCGTGCAGGTGCAGGGGGTGGCCCAGCCCGGGGGGGACTGGGGAAGCCACAGCAAAGCCCCGCCCGGAGCTGGTGCAGGAGACGAGCCTGGCTCTCAGCCCAGGCTCCGGCATCAGCCTGCAGCAGGGAGCAGAGCCACCCCCGCCAGCTCGGCTCAGCCCAGCCCCACTCTTAAAGGGACATGGACCCCACCGTGGCTCGGCCCAGCCCAGCCCGGGGCACGTGGGGGTGTCAGAGTGCGTGCAGGGAACACCTGGGAGCCTGCAGGGCACTGGCAATAGATGGGTCTGGGGGGGGATCAGGTGAATGCGGAGGGGTGGGTTACATGGGGTATCCAGGAGGGTCGGTATATGGGAGTATCAGGGTGCATGCAGGGGGCTTTGGGGCACGAGTGCCCCCAGCACTGCGGTGCACTGGTGCAGGTGGGGCGCTGCAGGGCTCTGTTTAACATGCCCTGTGCTGAGTTCCCATCGCTAGCATTGCTGGTGCAGGTCTTGGGATGGGGGGCCGCCCACAGCCTCCCAGCATTCGAGAGCGCCCCGGGTTGCTGTCCAGCGTTCTAGAACCCCGCCGGGCTCTGGAACGTTCAGCCTCCTCCCCCTCACCCCCCACCTGGGAGCCAAGGGGGGGGGCACCTTTTTTTTATGTTTGCTCCCCCTGCTCTTAGAACCTGGCTACGCCACTGGTCCTGCCGGCAGCAGGTGTATCTTCAAATGGCACGGTCTGGCTGATTTCACCCACTCTCTGCTCAGCCCAGCTGCCCCCTGCCTCTGCTGTGAACCCCTTCGCACGAACAGCCTCGGGGCGGCCTGGAAGCCGGACGATCTAGCACAGAAGGACGGTTTCTCTCTGGGAGCAGGAATCTCATTGTCCAGGAGCTCGGGGGACGTGCAGATGGAAATGTGTTTCTGATGCACGCCGTTAACATGGTTCCACTGATGGGCTGATGTTACCGTCGGCCCTCGGGGCACCAAGCCAGGAGTGTGCTGGCCGGACGCTCAGGAGAAAGACATGCTCACAGGTAAATGGCGTCTGATGGGGCAGGCTCCCCGTTAGCTAAATCACTTCCTTTGCCGGCCTTCCTCCCTGAAGCCCAGGCTGTGCTAGCTCGAATGCTGAACCCTTTCACAGCCATCAGCTATGAGGGGGAGTGTGGTCTAATGGTTAGACCGGGAGAGTGGGTGCCAGGACTCCTGTGGCAGCTTCCTGGCTCTGCTACAGAGTGACCTTGGACAAGTCAGTTAATTACTCCATGCCTCAGTTTCCCCCCTCTTTGAGGCGAGGATGGCAGCATTGCCCTAGCTTGCTGTGGCACTGCAGGGTTAACAAACAGCTGCCTGCAAAGGCGTCGGAGGAAAGGCCGTGGGGCTGTGAGCACAAGCTGCTCTTTGCTGTGGTGCACTAACCTGCGTGAGTCTCAGATCCAGCCCAAGCCAGGTTCTAGTGGGCTCTGAACGTGGCTTTGTTTCATTCCCAATCTAGGGGAAAACTCTCCACCCGCTGTGTGCTCAGCTGGGGTCAAGCCAGGCGGCTCGGCTGAGATCAACGGAGCTCCGTGGATTGACACTAGCTGAGGATCCAGTGTGGTGGTTCTTGGTGCCGATGTGGGACTCATGGAGTGAGGAGAGCAGCATATCAAAGTCTTGAGGGTTCACCACATGTTGCCTGCTCAGAAGCCAGGTAGGCCTAGTTGTTGGGTCTTCTGAGATGAGCTGCATGTGATGTGGCCACGTCCCTGTTTTTTGGGCAAATCCTGGGACAGAATACCCTCCGTCACTGTAACTAACTGTCTCTTAGGCTGCCCCCCCACTGGATGGGAACTGCTCCACCTGTGTGTCACAGACCCTATCTTGCTGAGATTCTCCTTCTATTCAAGTGTGCTTGTGGAGCGGGCTGATCTCAGTTCTATACCCACTGGGGCCATGGAGTCCCAGGTGGGGAGCAGGGGGCAGCATTCTCGCAAGTCCCGGTTGGCCTTGCGTTTGTGCAATGTTCCCCCCCCCCCCCAAAAAACAACAACGTTAAATCCAATAGCAAAGGGCGGGTGGGTGTAACTGCTAAAGCTTTATCAATATGCCGCAGTTAAATGGAGTGGCCATGCGGTGGCACCAACGCCAAAGAAAGCAGCCGTGCTGTACTGCACAGGCACCGACACCAAGAACTATCTGCAGATTGCTTCACTCGGTGTCAGAGACAGCGAAGTGAAAGACATTCTGGGCCCAGAGGATGATCTCACTTGGCAGCGGGGTGTCAACGCTGAACTCTGAAAATCTGTTATTGCCTCTCAGATTATAATGAGCTATGGGATTGCTGTTGTGTACCCGGGGAATGATCCATGCTGTGTGTAGCAGACACACTGGGAGATCAGTTTCGTGTGCCTGCTGCCCATAGTACTTTCCCCAGCTCTGCACACACACTCACAAAAGTTATCAGAATCTGAACAATTAAAAACTGGGGGCATCTCAGGAACCCCTGGGCCAAGTGACCCAATTTGCACCACTCACTCTAGTCTGGGCGTCCTGCTGATATACCAGTTGTAGTTAGATGAGGCCCGGAAACATAAACATATCAGAGGCCCGGTCTGAGGCCTAAGGCCTGAACTAAAGTAATGGTCAAGACTTTGCTAACATAAAGCAAAGTTAAGCTGTGAGCCAAAGGCAGGCCCTGCTCAGAATCTGGCAAGGAAAGGGCTGATGTTGCAAAAACACACATACCTAAAAGGTACTGGACACTAGAGATATAAACATGTGCCAGGATGGTACTAAGAACACTCTGATACTAGCACATTCCACACAGATAACGAGGAACAGGCTGCCCCATCCTAAAGACAGGGGGGAAAGGTAATATGATGGATGGGGTTGTTTTGATTGAACCAACATGTACAAGGTGAGAGGCGGCACCTTACTACGTAGAGAGGTTGTACCTCAATACGTCAGGAGTGAGGTGTAACTTGTTTGTACCTGTGTATAAGAATTTACCCCTGAGGAGTTGTCTTGGTCTGGCCTAGGGGGCAGTGGTAAATCCCGTCACTAACTGAGCTGGTCCATTGTCAGGGAGCACATATGTACTAGCACAACTGTAGACATCTGATCCGGGGAGCTAGAGACTGTTTTGTTTGGCAATAAACCTGGCCAGGTGCCTTCGTACCTTATCGGAGTCTGTGGTCATTGGAGTTTCTCTGGGGGTCTGCTGTGCTAGCTACCTGTGCAGAGCCGGGGCAGCACACAGAGGGAACACGCACACAGCCGACTGTTACCAACATTGGATAGAGCAGAGCACCACACCGGGGACATCTGACAACATTGGTGACCCCGACCGCTGATCTGGTGAGTAAACGAGCTGTCCGCTGTAGGAATCGCGATCTAACATGACAGAAAACCACAAGCTAGGGAACCCCCTTTTCCCTTCCAATCCCCACAGAGTTTGATAACTCGTGGACCTACTGAATTGCCAGGAAAGGGGGTCCATATGAATTTAAAAAAGAAAGTGGGGAAACGGACTGGCATATGTAAGGCAATGGTAGAAACAGAAACTCTAACAAATAATAATCAAAGTAGAAAAGCTAGGATTTCGCAATTAATGTGCATGGCAGTACGATGGCTTAAACAGCACGCCGACATACTGGCCAGGCAAGTAATGGAGAAAACCAGGGAAGTAGAAGAGAAAACTAAAGCCATGGAGGAAGCAACCCAGGCAGTCGAGCACTGGAAAGCCCAAGCTCTTTTAACAGTGCACCAGGCGGTCCAGACTCACGATCTGCTCGAACAGATAAAGCAGGAAAACAAAAAATTGGAGACAGCTGTGGAGAACCGGCAGAAGAAAAAGGTACCGTCCCCTGTTGCTCAACAGACTTCAAGTGCTTTTCCAGTCCCCGAAGGATGGGGGGCAGAAATGGAAACAGGTGGCCCTGGCTAAATTAAAAGATGGAACATGGGACGACTGGAATGGAGGCTGCACTGGGGACATGTGGAATGCCCCAGGTGGATCATCCTCTCTTGACCCGTGGGCAGGGGCCACCGCACCACAACCGCCACCTTATGCTGAGAACCAGGTTTTGGACAAACCCTCCCCAAAACCTAGATCAATTCCTGTTAAACAGGGAAATGGGAGAGAAAACCCTACCGCGGAACCTGACCCTCACACCCCGCCTACACCCCACAAACAGGGGTTCCACCTCCATTGAGGTTATGGAACGCAGTGGAAACTGCAACAAAAAAAATAACAGATACTTTAAAACAGCCAGGGCCCCGTGGCAATGATGCAGAAAGGGAAATGGAGGCACCCAAGTGCCGTACAGATATACCTCAGCCACCTCGAGCAAGCGGCTTACCAGCCAGGCTCAACACTTTAAAAATTGGTGAACTAACTGCGTTAGCTGGAGCTGTCGGCCCCCCGCCTTCTGAGAATTTTAACGAGTTTATGGCCTGGCTACATAAATGCTCGCAGCTGTTAAAAGTGGTGGGAATTGACATGTTATAGGAACCAGTTCTAGTACAAACCCTGTGGGGACCACTGAATTGTCAGACCCTTGGTTTTGATGATGATGTGACGCAAATGGTTAAACGTGGGGCTCAAAAGCATTTTAAGTTATCCAGTGAATTAGCTGCACTTAAAGGAATTCCAGGAATGCCAGGAGAGGCTCCGGCCAAGCTGGCTGACAGAAGACAAGCGTATGTTAGGTTAACAGCGGGGGATACTGATCGCGAGGATTTGAAGCAACTTGTTTTGGAGGCTCTGCCTTGTGGGATGCTAGAATGGCTGAATGCTTGGTGTGAGAATGGAGGTAGGGACGTACCTTGGAATGAATGGATTGAAAAAGTGAAGACTGTGGTTTAACAGCAGGAAGGAACTCCTGTCAATGAGCTGTGAACACAGTTAGGACAGTGGAAAACAGAGGGTCCTGGATACTGTCCCCGTTACGTGACCGTGGCCGGGATTGGAGAGGTCATGGAATGAACAGAGTAGAGGAGTAAATAGAGTGAATGGGTGTTGCCTGAAGTTCTGAAACAGGAGAATCTAGCTCTTAAAGGAGAGAATGAGAAGCTGTGGGCGCAGCTACAGGCATGTATGATTGGCAAGGGCGTCTCAAAAGGAGGAAGAAAAGGCAGTGATGAAGGTGGCCAAGGTGCCTGGTTTGGCGTCTGGATTGAATGATCCAATTGTTAGTAATTCAGTAGCATAGGCCAGCCCTCCCTGCAACTCGGAATGCGTTTTCCAGCAACCCATGACAATAGATGTCTGGGGGTGCCCCCATTTAAGCATCCAAGTCAGGGATGGGCTTGCAGATTTTCTGTTGGACACAGGGGCTGGAATTCCTATAGTAAAAGATGTATTTAATGTATATCCAGTCGTGGACTCCGTACAAATACACAGCATATCAGGAGCTAAGCAAACATACGATGTTAAAACCCTCCCTCTCCAGTTTGGTGTACATACCATTCAGGAGAAGTGTGCTATCGCAGGGAGAGAAAATCTAATTGGGGCAGAAACTATCAAATGATTGGGAATAATCCCGGACTTCCCAAACATGTGTATCAAACAAAGTCTCACTGTAACGGGAGAAACAAACAATACTAAGCTGATCCCCATGGGACTGGCTACTCAGACGGTGAGAGCGATAAAGCCTAAACAGTCACCTCCTGCGCCGGAAAGCTGGGAAAGCTGGTGGGCTGAGATTCAAACCATCTGGGCAGCGGACTCCCTAGATACGGGAGAAATACAAACCTCCGTTACATTGGAAGGAGACACACCCCCATACATCAAACAATACCCGATACCTCAGGAAGCAGAAGAATCTTTAAGGCAAGTTATAGAAGAATTGGAAGAACGAAAATTTATTTGAAGGTGTTCAGTGCCTAATGCAGCACCAATCTGGCCAGTTAAAAAACCTGATGGAACATGGAGATTAACTATTGACTATCGGGGGTTAAACAGAACTGCCAAATGGGGGGCACCGGTAGTGGCGGCTTACCCAGAATTGTGGAAGGTACTGTAGTAACCCCTGACATGAAGTGGTTCTCAGTACTCGACGTGGCAAACGGCTTTTGGAGTTTACCGTTAAACGCAGAGACTCAATACAGAACATCTTTTGTATTCCAGGGTATGCAATATTGCTGGAATGTTTTGCCTATGGGGTACTGTGATGCACCCACAATATTTTATGCTGTAGTTTTCATGCTGTAGAGAAATATGCTAGAGAAGGAGGGACTGTTACAAATGGGAAGGATAGTCCAGTACATAAATCACATTTTAATAGTCAGTGAAACAGAACAGGAACATGAAGCGTTAACGCGGCAGTTACTGACTAGCTGCCAAGCGTACGGCTTGAAACTTAACCCCTCTAAATCCCAGATGACCCAGAAAGAAGTGCAATATCTTGGAATTCGACTCAGTACAGGGAGAAGGTCTGTGGACAAGGAAAGGGTGAAGTGTATTGTTACCCTCCCTATGGCGGTAGATACTAAATCTTTGCCATCTTTTTGGGGGCTCACTAACTTCTGCAGAGAATTCATGGCTGGGTTCGCAGAGAAGGCAGGTCCCCTGTACGAGGGACTTAAAAGACCACAGTGGATCTGGCCAGAGGAGGCAACTAATGCATGGAAAAGCCTGAAAAAAAGGGTTAATGGAGGCACCTGCCTTGGCCGCCCCAACAACGAATTCCCCTTTGTATTGTACCCTAGTGTTAAGAATTTCTGTATTGTTCGTGTGCTTACACAGGGTGCTGGTGCTGGGGAGAGATTCGTTCCTTATTATAGCAGGGCATTAGCAGGTCCAGACTGGGAACGTGTGAGCAAACTGCTCTCGCTGCCGACTGGACACTACAAAGAGCTCAGGCAATCATCAGAGCAAGCAAGGTGATTGTAAAGAGTCACCAGGCACTGGGAAAATTACTAAATCAGAAAAATCTGTCTAAAGGACGTGTGAGAGTAGATACGGCCATTCAGTGGGTCTTTGCTCTCATGTTCGAGAATGTTCAATTGGTCCCACTAAAAGAACCTGAAATATCTGGACGGGGATTGACTATAAGCGGTCGAGAACATGTTTGTGAACCCCAGCGGGAATCCAAAGCGCACCCTGTCTTTAAAGCAACCCCAATTGAACAGGTGATTGGAAAAACCATTTGCTTTGTGGACGGCAGCTCATATTACACCGAAGGAAAACGAGTCACTGGCTTTGCAGAGATTTGTTTAACTGGAAACCTGCGAAGAGTTAACTTCTTCCAGTACAAACTGAGCAAAGGGGGAACGCAGTCTGCAGAAGTATCAGCGGTCTTAGACGTTTTAGCTAGAATGAGGAACAAGCAAATGGAGCTAATAATAGGGAATCACCATCTACCTACCATGGTGGAATAGTGTAGGTTTGACAGGAACTCCCGGATCCAAAATTAACACAAGACCTTATGGCAGCAAATAGAGCAATTGGCAGGGCGGTATCAGGAGATCTGGATGGTTAAAATAAAAGCCCATAAGAGGACAGGTCCACTGAAAAAGGGAAATGAACAAGTAGATAAATTGGCTAAGGAACTGGAACACTGTGGGAGCCCACCCCCGTGGCAGTAACCACCCGGGCACAGGCAAAACAAAAACAAGAAAGTGAAGAAAACGACCAGAAAGTGCTTCGGTTTTTACAGGACCTGCAGGCAAACGATGACTCCATACAGCAATGGATAGTAGAATGCCCCTCACGGGGGCAGGGGGGCCCGTTGAGAAAGGAGGGAGACCTAATTCTGGCAAAACCAGAAAATGACTGGGTCCTGGTAATCCCTCAGCAGATGCAGTACCTCCTTTTAGGATGGGTGCATGGTTCAATTGTGGGAGGTGACTCAAAACAGGAAGAGGCATTAGAAAAACTTAAAAAACTGGGATGGTGGCCTGGAATGAAAGAGGATTTAAACCTGCATAGTCATAGCTGTTTAACATGTGCTAAGCAAGACCCTGCTAGAAGAAAAAGACGTGAAGAGTTAATGCATCAAGTGTTAAAAGGCCCCCTCCAACATTTACAGGTTGATTTTGTTGGACCCTTGCCCCTCTTGTATAAGTAGAGGCATTGCCAGCAGATCGAGGGACATGATCATTCCCCTCTATTCGACACTGGTGAGGCCTCATCTGGAGTACTGTGTCCAGTTTTGGACCCCACACTACAAGAAGGATGTGGAAAAATTGGAAAGAGTCCAGCGGAGGGCAACAAAAATGATTAGAGGGCTGGAGCACATGACTTATAAGGAGAGGCTGAGGGAACTGGGATTTTAGTTTGCATAGGGTTGCCATACGTCCGTTTTTTCCCGGACATGTTCGGCTTTTTAGTAATCAAATCCCCGTCTGGGAGG